CGCTCAAGCTACATCTAAGGTAGCAGACCTTAGGAGGTAATTCGAATAACAGTAATGTGTGATATGGGCAATCTCATGCGGTTACTCCGAATTAGTTTAAGGTTCGCTGGTACTAGTTTAACAACTTTTGCCACTGGTAGTGCGATGACTGTCACCCCTTGATCATTTCAAATCCACTCCTAGCTGGAAGTGCTTTAGAGTAGTAGCTTAGATTGATACATATAAGACGCCCGACTTTTGTATTTGCGTGGTTACAAAATAAGCTGTATTATTTTTAGACACTGAAATATAACTTAATTACAGCTAGAATAGTTTATTAGACATTTGCATAAACAAATCGCCACACTAAAATAATGATTCCCGCACAGGAACGTGCCACTTTCCTCATTAGACCCGATATTAAATACTATAATACCTCGATAGTTTTTTTATTGGTGTTCGGTACTGTTCTTATTAACCAAGCTGCCTCATTTCAAGAGTATTGTGTTTTCACGTTACTGATTGCTCAACAAAAATACCAGACCTCATCATTTTCTAAGGCTAGTTTTCAGTCATAATTCCTTTCAAACTAAACTTGTGTTTCGGGTTCCCCTCTCTCTAATATTCAGTCAGTGGTAACTACGTTTTGCTGCCAATTGGCTAATTTATCAAAGTACAAACTGCTTAGCACAAAAACATGCACATGCCTATAATGAAATAAAATACATAATTTGAACAGTCAGTAACTCAAATGCAGTGTATGTGATTTGTTTTACAAAAGGCTGAATGCCACAGGAAAAAAATTGAACTAATTTATAAAAGAGAAGTGAGATTAGCAAAAGCAATAAACGGAAATCATAGTGCTAAAGTGAATTATTAAGTAATGTGTAGACTAGCTGTACTCTCGTCAAATAGTTTATTTCCTTTTTTTCATAGTCAGATTTCCTTGTCTTGCTTGTTCCGCAAGCTGCTTCCGACGTTCGAAAGCGGCTATTTCCTCTTCCAAAAAGCGTTTCTTCTCTTCGAGTTTCTTTTTCTCCTCGGCGTGCGTTTTCTTTAGACTTTCAAATTTGGTTTGTAGCTAAAAATCAATGAAGTAGAAAACGAACCATAGATTATAGGACATATATAAAGTTTGGAGGATGTGCCACATCCTTAGAAGCGAAAGCTGGATCAATAAATAGGGAGGCGCACCGGAAAGCTTGACATTTTATAAAATATTATCAATGTACCCAAGTGTAAAAAGTATTGGTTCGATACCCAGACTTTATGGTATACGACAAGTACGCAGGTGAACATCAATAACTACCAGATTACCTTTCAGTCATCCCTTTTACATGACTAGAGCTCTTACAAACATACGGAAATGAAAGCGAATGGTCGTGATCTCTAGATGAGGAACTCCAGCGTATTATCTTTCGGCACTGTTTCACTACCTAACAGATGAACAGGATCAACCTAGAGAAACTTCAGTCTCCTAAAATCAGAAACTCCGATCTAAGTGGTCAGGTAGTAGCAGTACAACCTTTGCAGAAATCATGACAATGTAAAATGAGAAATACAAATAAGCGTTAGGCGGATGAGTACCACAGATTCTTATTTAGTTACACTGAGTTATCTTACTAATTGTGAGGTAAAGTGTTTACGCGAAAAAAAATATCCTTCAAATCAGAATACTCACCTGAACATACTTAGAATATGAAATAAATATTTATCTGCATGTTTACGTGAGCAGATTTTGCACAAGCGTAGTATCAGAGGCTAACTATGAGTTTGTCTAAACAGTAAACTAGTTAGTTTGGAGCATTGTGTAGTTTGATAGATCCATGAGAACTATAAATGTAGTTCATATGTGGATGGCTATTAATGTACAATGTCCCTTAACAATATACAGGTCAGCTACAACGTAGGACCAGGCACATATATGCATCGGTCCAAGTTGCCATACCTCGTTAGCACAACAAGAGGAACACCGGATTCATAGAAGTAATTAATTTACTGGTGGTAGTAGTATATAAATTATAGGTTGTATATAAGGATATAGTACAGGAAGGGAGATATGAAGCAATTTTAGTCTCAAGGTTTAAGGGAAGATAAAGAGTGTATACACCTACGCCATTGTGATCGATTCTGAGCCATGTCACCTAGAGTCTCCAACCATTTATTACGATAGTCACGCGGACCCCAACCAGGTAGTCTGCATCTGCCAACGCATCCCAAACATCCTGGCATTATTACTGAGTTCCAACAGAAGACTCTGCATTTTGCCAGCGTCTTCACCAAACAGGACTATGTCATCTGCGTATTCCAAGTCTATAAGTGAACCTCCTGGTAGGAGATCAATTCCTGAAAATTCAATCGAAGAGAGTGTTATTTCCAGCAACAGGTCTATAATGAAGTTAAACAAAAATGTAGATGGTGGACAGCCTTGTCGGACACCACTTGATGTTGTAAAATCATATGACAGTTCGCCATAAGCTCTCACTCGACTGGTAGTGTTCGAGTAAAGAGCCTTGACAAGGCTTATGTACTTCTCAGGTACACCTTTCAATAACAGACACTGCCACAGAGCCTCTCGGTCTACAGAGTCAAATGCTGCTTTCAAGTCAAGAAAAACTATCATTGTCGGACGCCGATAAGCGTGTCTGTGCTCTAAAACTTGACGAATGGTGAATATGTGGTCGATACAGCCACGACCAGGTCTGAAGCCAGCCTGATTTTCTCGTGTTTGCAGTTCACGAGTCTTAGTTAGGCGCCCGATAATTATTGAGGCTAGTATTTTAGATGCTATGTTAGTCAGACTAATCCCTCTATGGTTATCGCAGGATGATTTTGACCCCTTCTTATATATTGGGACAATCAGTGATTGTGACCAGTCGGATGGGATTACATCCGTCTCCCAGATTTTAGCCAGAATATTAGTCAACCTAATCGCTAAAATTGGACCACCGTATTTAAAAACCTCTGGAACCAATCCATCAGGACCAGCTGCTCTTCCCCGTTTCAGATTACCTATAGCCTTTTGAACTTCAAGTAGGGTCGGGGGGCCTACTTCAATGTTCCATTCAGGTTTTCTGGGAATAGTGGGTAGTTGTGCAGTAGCTGAAGGCCAGCTAAACTGCTCCTTAAAGTGTTCCGCCCATCGTTCTAAACGTTTAGGTTGAGAGCAGATAAGGGTTCCGTCTTTTTCCGAGATTGTCTCACTTACACTTGACTTCTTAATTCCGGTTTCTTTTATTAGTCTGAATAGTTGCCTGGTGTTGCCTACAGCCGCTGCCTTTTCCATCTCTTTTGCTTTCGTTGCCCACCACTGCTCACGATCGTTCCTTAGGCTTTTAGTTAACCTAGATCTAATTTGTTTACGCTCTTCGTCGTGTTTAGAGCCTGATGGGATGAGTTTACGCGAATCCATCAGTGAAATAGACTTAGAAGAAATACATTGATTTTTTGGAGCCCTATGGTTTAAATAACTAATAGATGTTACTGCTGTTTCCACAGCTGTCCGTGTGTCTTTCCAAGCAGCATCTGGGTCAGTCTCGTTTACAGAACTGCCTAGATGTGAACTCAGTTGCTCCTTGAATTTACATTTAGCTTTCTCGTGCTCCAGTTCAATCCTAATGGGTCTTCTTAATGTGGTTTTTCTGCGTCCAGTGAGGCGCAAACAAATGCGTGCTCGTATTAAAGCGTGATCAGAGTCTAAACAAGTATTCCAATACGAGCGACAATCTTCTATTGAGCCTCTCCAACGATGATTGATGACAATATGGTCTATTTGAGTCCATCGTTGGTTTGGTGCAGGTGGTCGCCATGTTAGACGATGTCTCTCCTTATGTTTAAAATTAGTGCTTGCTAAAAATAAACGATTGTCTGAGCATAGTTGCAACAGACGATCACCATTATCGGTTCGTTCAGCCGGAATACTAAAACACCCATCTAAATGTCTTTCTGTTTGATTTAAGCTGCCTACCTGGGCATTAAAGTCACCCGCTACGACTACTATGTCTGAGCGCTTAGCTTTCTGAAGAAGCTCAGAGAGTTTTCTGTAAAAGTCATCTTTTACTTCATCATGGCTGCAGTCAGTGGGAGCGTAGGCAGAAACGACGAAAAGGCAACGACGTGTGTCCCTATCCTTCCGAGTTCTTATGGAGCCATTTAGCCGGACAGCACACAGGCGACTGTTAAAGGGGATCCATTCTAGTAGTGCCTGTTCTGCCCTTGTACTTAGTGCTATGCCTACACCTGCAAGTCCGCGAGAACTAGCCAACGGGTCGCCAGATACACGGAGGGTGTATTTCGTCGGCTGTCCATTTTGGCGAGGTGAGGTCAAGTGAATGACCACACTAGGATCCTGTATGCGTGTTTCGGAGACACAGCATACATCAATGGTACGAGATTCTAGGGTTTTAGCTAAGGAGGCCTGTTGACCGATTTGGTATAGGGTACGTACGTTGAAGGCTCCATTGTGTAGTTTGGAGCGAGGTTTAAGTAGACCTGGGACAGCGTTTCGCGCACTAGAATCGTTGGCCATGGTGACACTTGAGGAGGAAACCGAGAGAGGAAGTTTAGTGTTGAAAGTCAAGGTAGAGGGAATAGTAGGAATTGAAGAAGAAGATTGATTATGAATACAGTGGTCTTGAGTGCTGTTAGAGGTATGAGGGCAGTTATCACTTCCCGGTTGCCCACACCGTGGAAGGATTCTTCTAGAGGTACCTGAAAAGGAAATTGGGTTAGGAGTGGTCTTAATGACCTGAGAGCGTGACCGCAGTGCCCAAGGGACATCTGCTTGAGGTCGGTCACACACGACCTTTTTGTGGGTAGTTTTTGTGTTAGCTCCGTTCTTCAAAAAAAACCTTACCGCCGGAGACGGAAATCCGTGGGATAAGGCGAGGTGTGCATTTTTAGGGTCGACCTTTTCTAACCCCACCCCTCCTTGTGGGAAGGCAGCATCGCTGTCATGCTGGTTGTCTGAAGGAAACACCTTACTGCCGTCACACCTCTGTACAGTCAGCAGTACGACTTCGCCTTCGGACCTTGGGTTTGCTGCTTTTAGTCTCACCGCTCTTCAACCGACCTGTCTGGCATGGTAGGACCTCGAGGAACGACTGTTCCAGCCAGCATAGCTCGATTGCTTCATCACGATAGGCAAGCCCGACCACCACGTCAAGGTAGCAGCAACGATCGGGCTTAACAATATACAGAGAACTAATGACATGGATAAATGGAGTAAGACATGAAAATGCGTTAAAAAGGATTGTTTTACATAGATGAAAAGGTAATTAGACCATTATTTCATACATAGTGGTTAAGAAGATACTAATTAGCCCACACCAGTAGGTTTAATTAAACAAATGAACTCAGCTATACATTTCGTAACAGATTCCTCCTTATGAAATCATGTTCACCAAATGACCAATCAAAATACAGAATACCTAACCGGCACCGTATTTATTGATTGTTTTTAACAGAACTAAACAGTTATTAATGAATTACATCAAATATACAGTCAAATAGTTGTGATTAAAATGTTGAATTCAAGTTACGTTCATGATTTACTTCCAAAATTACCAAGATGACCCGATAATAACAATTTACCATTTCATACAAATGAATTGACCAACATCATTCCTTGATACTTAGTTGATTTATATTTTGTCAACTTATTTTGATAGGACAGACTTATTACAAAGAAGTCTACCTACTGTATGTCGATAATTTTGAATAAATTTCCTATGTAGAGAGAATGTTACGAAATTAGTGTGAAGTTAACAAGTCTATCTTAGTATTAAGAATAGTAACGAAGATAATGAATTCTGTAAAATATGCTGGAAGTTTCCTGACGAAGTTTTGTTCTTCCTTGATTTAATTCCACTAGGAATTGGACGAGTGTTGCAGAGACAGATTTGTATTTATAACTGGAACAATGTATAGGGGGGGTTGTACTACTATTTAACAAAACAACTGGGCAAATAAGATAAAATAAATAAAAAGTGAATGAACCGAATAGACATTCAATACTTTATAATTCAGAAAGATTTATTTTGATCAGCTGAGTCAAATCTAACGATGAAACAGGTTTCTTCTAACTTTGAGTTGTTTATCATTACAAATTGTTCTATACAACTATGATTATCATTATCAACATTCGCCGAAGATGAACTGACTTACCTAACGTAACTCATGTGCCATGCACTTATTTAATTTAGTTTTGAGACCCACTGTCTGTGCATGGACGTTAATGATGCTAGCCAGTTGGTTAAATTTAAGTGGAGTGGGGTTTAAACCTGAGACCTGCTGTTTGGAAGGCGAGAGGCTTAACCGATAAGTCAAAACTCCATGCTAAATGTGGACAGATATATTTACAACTTATTAAACTGTATCTATCATCGCCCGCGAAAGACGTTACGATCTAATCATCTGCAGCGCCAGCTAAGTGCTTAAAGTATTTAGCTTCCAAATACTGGTCTCAGGTTTAGACCCAGTTTACCCCCCCCCAAGATTGGGAAGCCATATACATAATCCTATATTTCATAAACAGCTTACAAAACACTATTCTTGGCTTTAACATTGGCACCCGGGCAGTATCATAGCCCTCACACAATTAAATGAAAAGACAACTTTTTGTGTGGCGCATATATATCTGATGCCCCCTTTTACAATTATTTATGTGTTCAAATAAATAAATCTCTTCCGTTCACAAGAAAGACAAAAATGGATTTATAACGTTGTTTTTTTAGTTGCTCGCACATTACTTATGGAAAATTCGAAGCTTAACTCATTGAAAGATGACAAGAGATATGAGAGCCATGATTTCAATTATAATTCATGGTTTGAACTGTAAGAATTCGGGAAAAGAAAAACTTCATCCATGGACTGTTTGTAATCTAGAAATGTTAATACCATCGGATGAGGTGTATCACTGGTAGATGATAAAACATGTAGTAGAAACCACATATGAACGAGTTTTCATTGAGGCCGAGTAATATCATAGTTCGGTTATTGAGAAGCTATTTTAATGTGAAGAATTAGCATACGGTAACTGACAAATTACTCCAGGGAGTTGTATGGTACCACAAGTTCATCTCATGAAGTTACTAACAAAGCCAAATGCTATTCAATATTAGATATATCCCAGATATTAAAATATGCAATTATGAGTTAGGTAACCTAAAATTGTTCATCGTTGTCAAGTCGCTTTATGGATTCGTCTAAATAGGTAGATATACATTTCCGTTAGGAAGTTATGTTTAATAACTTACCTCACGCTCTGCTTCTTTTAAAACTTGTTCTTTTTCTTTAACACGCTGAACAAACATTTGTCTCATTTCTTCTTCCTTTTGTTGTAATTCTTTCCTTTGAAGCTCACGACGCTTTTCATAGGTTTCCTATGGTGGAAAATAGAAAAGGAACATAAAAGGAGGCAAAAATAATCAGTTTCTATGACACACGAACAATACAAGGTACATGCATGCACCAACGAGAAAACATTTGTAATGAACTTTATAACTAATAGCTTGAATCAAAAAGTTCTATAAGCATGAAAATTTTGATAGTTGATTCCAATATTTGTGAATCAAATCAAAACCAAAAGCAGACTGTTACACTAGACCATACCTATCATATGAGAATTAGTACTAATAACACTATCCAGCCACTTAAATCTTTGTGTTTTATAGAATGGAGCGTTAGCACAAAAAATTATGATAATTAATGTGATTGAAACACACGACTTTCAAGTATGAGGCTGCATGTTCGAATCCCACTTTACCTGTTTTGATGTCAGTAACATTCTGGTAATATAACAGAAATTTCTGCTTAAAACTGAGTACATGACTCATCTAAACACATACGATTAACATAGAGCCCGGCACAACAAATGTTCGTTGTCCAAAGTCCCCATACTACATTAACATGAAATGTAAACAACAAAATGAATTGCGAAAGAGGTTGAAATAATGTAGGAGCAGTGATAATAAGAAAGACTAAACATAATCACGAATATGGTTTGAAAAGACAGAGTGGGAAAGTATGCATAAAGAGACACTAGAATTTAAGATCGAAAGGAAGATAAAGAGCGAATGCATTTGGGTCACTGTGGCCGACTCTCAGCTATGTCATCCAACGTCTTTAATCACTGGTAACGAACATCGCATGGACCTCAACAAAGTAGTTTACACCTACTAACATGGCTTAAAATAACAAACAGTGACTTGGTGAATTTATTTCATTTCATGGTCTTTTCGTCAAAAACTTTCTTCCAACCTGTTTCAACACAACCAAGCATCCCCCAGTAAATAAGCCAGCACTCAGTTGTGGAGTTGTACTAGATTGATTTGATTTCATCGACAGTATAAATACTACTTAAAGTTTTTAACACCGCCTACTAAGCACAGCTTTGTGTGCTCAGCTTCAAGCCACCTTCTGCGTGAGAATTAAAGACACTAAGGGTTTGAACATTCAACCTGAAAGTTGGAATTCAGGTGGTTCAATTATCGCAGCATACTCCTAAATAGTTAATGTAACAAAAGTAATTTCACAAACCTTTTCAGGTACAGAAAGAGACAAGAATTCTTACCTGAAGTGACATTTTCTCATCATCACGAAATCCCATTTCGATTAAGCGTTGACGTCGATAAGTTTCATAATGTACACCATGTGTACGTTCACGTAAATCTTCCATATTCACACGTAATAGCATCTCTCGAAGTCTGACAAAGTCACAGTGATTTTCATTTTCTACTTGAACTGAACCCCATGGATACTGTCGAACACGTACTGTTTTTCCATTGATTTTAACTTCTTCTGAGCTACCCACAACAGCGAATGGGATGTGTTGCTACAACCAAGTAATTATTATAGAAAACTACGATGAAACTAACGTAGAAGAAATTGAGGGTTACACAGCCTACCATAAACAACGTAAGACTGTCACTAAGAGTTCTACTGATCTGACACTTGCATTACATTCTCAAAGTAGAACTTACTTCACATTATTTTGTCTCCATAAAAGATGATTTAATAGATTCATACGTGGCTCGATTGTTTTAAATGTACTGTAAAAATGTTAGTTTGGTAAATAAAGATATTTTCAATACAAAATCTAAATTATATTAGTGGTACAGTTTCAGGAATCAACTCAGATACACCATATTACTACTTATTCAACTAACCAAGTACAGGTTTTTGTACTCGGTTTTCATCCAGATTTTAGGTGTGACGGCTAGTGATACTACCCGACCATCCAAACCAAAACAGGCAAAGCGGGATTCATACCGGAGACTGGTTGAAAATCGAAATTCTTAACTACTACTCCATCAATGTAACAGTGGAAAAATGAACATTACTTCTCTAGAATTGTGTCCGGACTAACAGTAATAACATCGGGTACCCAACTATTTAAAAGTACTGTTTTTAAGATGTTATATTTAAACTTGTTGGGATTATGGGCTTAACCCGAAAGGCATTTTCCACTGACTGATCTTTATGTTTATAAGGATATACGCATAATCCATCCGTAGCATAAACAGAAAAATAACTCAGTTAAATGCAAGGAAATTGTGAGATGCAAAATAACTTCGTATATTTATAAAGATATGCAGTGATATCCTAGGAAAAATTACAAATGACAGTAACCCTAAGAGATAGTGCATACACAAATTGAAAGAAATCGGTATTCATGCGATCTGAAGTTGCGTACTTCAGGCATTTGGATTGATAGATGGTATAAACAAACCATAACTATGATTCCGAACCTGTCAATGAGTAGAATCAAACAGCACAACAATATTATGTCGCTCAGTTTACTGACCGCATTACATTATGTTCAGGATTGTAAATAATGCTTAAAAACTAAAGAAAAACGGGTGAGACTATAATTTGTGGACAAACAAATAAAATTAAGGATAGCAAGTACTAGATTTGGACGCAAAATTCATTCACATATATAGTTAATTAGCATTTCGGCATTATAGCTGATGTCATTTGGTGATGAAAACCCTTACTTTAATTTATAAATATAAATTCCAACTCTAAATCCGAATTTATATCAGCTTATTACTATCTTTTGGCACCGGTAAGTAGGTGAATTGTCTCAAGGTCACTTTAGCGTCGCTCACAAACCGTCCATAAGTTAGTCTCCTCGAAAAAGTACTAGGAACATAATGAAGTTACACCGTTGGCATCGCTGAAATGTATTAGTTTTTCTCTGGCCAAAAGCAATACGTCTAGTTAAAACCCTACTACTTTATAATAGAGAACTTCAAAGAGCTTGGAACAATTTGTCTGTATGTCTCGTTAAAACGAATTTGGAATTCACCGAATAACAATAATATTCTTTTGTATTTCAGTAGCGCCTAGAACTTCCTTGGGTTAGGTTGTCGAACATCAAACGAATAATCTAAATTTAGCCTAAGGTACGATGTATTCAAAACTCACATTAGCCGAGAGGTATTCACCATATACATACTTCCAGAAGTGTAATCATATATATATGAAATTTTAGATTACAAAGAAACCTACATTCATTACACTATTAGTTTCACTAACAGCTTCATCATCAGTAGGAAACTGGTAAATACCGATTTCATTAGACTGTATTTCACTGAGGATCTACAATTTATTGAGATGAAATTTAGTAAATGAAGAAACATACTCTTGCTTTAAACTTTTGTAATTCAGATTTAGTTATTGTATCTGATTTTGCTATTACAGGGATGACATTAACTTTGTTCTCCAATTTTTTCATTGCAACCAAATCAATTGACTTTAGACTAGATGAAACAAGAAAAACCATCAATAACTGGAAAAAAGCAGTAGGAAAAATTCAGATAAGTTAATATCTTATACAGTCTCCATACACCTTTATTTCCCGACTGTAGTGATCGGGTGTATTTGTTGAGCTGAACAGATCAATGTTTTTTATTTTACTAGTTCATATTTTCCTTTTGAATTCTGTCTTTGATGCTCAACCTTTTTTTATTGCCATTGGTACTATTGCAGTGAACAAGAACACGAACGGGGACAATCGAATGTATTTGAGCACAAAATTACAGAATATTTTAGTAAAATCTGACAATCATACAGTAAACAGTTAATTTGCAAACTATCAATCAATTGTCTCAATCTTGACTGTCCCTTCTGTAAATATCAGTCCATCGTCTTTGATTTCATTGTTAATGCATTTTCATACCAATTGCGTTCCGTCCCCGATTTTATACTGGAATAAATTCTATGCCTGACCATCGTTATATATTACTTATGCGGATATAAGTAACCCACACCACACTATCTCTTCCTCTACTAATTTGGTATCGGGCCTGACATCTCTGTGATAATGGAGTATGCCAAAGTGCATACGTACCAGACTCTACATTGTGACTGAGCGATTAATGAACATATCAAGCTACAATAGTTCTACAAATAAATATTAATCAATAATCGCTTTCATGACTGTAGTAACAGTTGAATCTACCAACCGAAGATCTAAGTACGCTTGATAGAACTACTGAGTGATCAACATTAATGTTTACCATTAAGTTGTGAAAAAAACAATACGTTGGTCAGTGAAGAAATGATCTCTCACTAAATGAAGTAGATGGAAGAGATAAATGACTGAAGGAAGGAAAGTGGTTCAGAATTATTTAGTGACCCGAATGCATTCGCTCTTTATCTTCCTTTCGATCTTAAATTCTAGTGTCTCTTTATGCATACTTTCCCATTCTGTCTTTTCAAACCATATTCGTGATTATGTTTAGTCTTTCTTATTATCACTGCTCCTACATTATTTCAACCTCTTTCGCAATTCATTTTGTTGTTTACATTTCATGTTAATGTAGTATGGGAACTTTGGACAACGAACATTTGTTGTGCCAGGCTCTATGTTGATTATATTTATTTGCCTAAAAATCTAGCAAAATTTGATAGTCATTCGGCCTATTAAATGTGGGAGATTCTAAAAACAAACATTCCCAAGGGGTTGAAACCTACGTTTTGACAAAAATGTCACGACTACAAGCCCAGGGATATCTTCATATATCATACCTATAAATTAAGTTGCTAGATATCTCCCAGTCACTGGGCAATCAGTAACAAAATGCTAAGGGAAATGCGATTATTCAAATAAGTAATACTCACAACTACTTTACCCTGTTTCTAAAGTGGGTGTTAATTCAGACCTACCAGTGCTTGTAAAAGGCGAAAGATTTATCCGCCCCCAAATGCCCTGGTACGGCCGAGAGTGGGGAGAGTCACCTCTCCCTCTCGAAATGATTTCATATGGCCAGCGAATATATAGCTTCTGCCAGGGAAGTCCTACTCACTGCCTTCTCACAGTGGCATTACTGTTGTTTACGAAATCTAGAGGACGAAAAGTGAATGTCCGTCGCTTTAACCTGGTTGGTGGACACGGAAAGTCCATCTAGGGGAGTTGGAAAACCCTGATTCCAAACCAGTGGTGCACATGGGCTCCAGTATCCTGAAAAAACAAATGGCAAATGAACCAATCGTTGGTCACCGGCTACCATGGGCTGCATCTCCTTACGATGCTCCACCGCGTTGTGGATCAGATCTTTAGGTCAAAGGCTCCGGGAGTGGTCCCTTAAAAAAACCACCTGCTTCAGCTTGGGCACCTGGGCAGTATTTCAGTGCTCACACAAATCAAATGAGATTTTTGCGGCGCATATGTATCTGGTACTTCCTTGTACCAATATTTATGTGTCTAAATAAATAAACAAATAAATATCAGTGCTTGTAATGTTACACTCCAAATGAAAATAACTTCGAAAAGTTCCGAAATTATATCAACCCGCTTTTTTGTACCTATTATAAGCTAGCCAGTAACCTCATTCGTATATATATGCTAACACCGACCAAACTAACCGTAAAATGTTAGTCGGTCACCAAAATCTTCGAAAATGAGGTTTGAGTCAAATGCCTGGTTAAATAGATTTGTATACAATATAACATTTGGCAACTACGAACATATATCTTTAAGACTATAAATCATACGTAATGAGAAAATAAGCAGTAATAACTAGTTACTTGTAACATGCAGTAAAACTTCACAAAACAAAATAGTCTGAACGTATTATGAGTAGGAAATTTACCTGTGTCCAGTAGGTGCGATAAAATAAAGACAGACATGAACCCTGGTGTCATGAAATGCTTGCATAGACCTTTTCATTTTCAGTTCTTCCTGTAGATAGTTTTCAAACTGATTATCGATATAATCAACAACAGGTTTTATACTATAAATTATTACGTAAACATTAAATTATTACTTATTTTCTTTATTAATCTGATCACCGTACCCACAAGTCTCTACTACCGTTAACTTAAGCTTAACATTAGCTTCTTTGAGATCTGTCGAAATATCTGAATAGAATAAACATATTCCTACCATATGTCACAGCTTTTAACTTGGGATCTGTAAGATCATGAGTTGATGGACTGAAATCAAACTTCTGGTTAAATAGAGTCTCCAGTAAAGTGGACTTTCCAATTCCAGTCTCACCTAAAAAATTTATAAATAACAAAATAGACGAACCGACACATAGTATATTAAACACGAATCCTTGGCTGATAGCCTTGTTGACTAATTGATCTGGCAAACTGTCGAAGCCAACATGCCCAGTTAGTTTTAGAGTGCGTACATCAGGAGGCTACGATAATTACAAATCAAATACAACAAACCAATGCTTTTAGAACATCTGCAGTCATTTTTCCAAACGGACGCGATTGAAGGCGTAAAACCTAATGTCCAATATATTGACAAAAAATATGTGAAAAAAGAAGGATAGAACAGTTCACAATGGATATAAAACTAAGATTTCCACAGTATCTTCAGAAAAAAAGTATGTTGAAAGCGTCTAAAAAATGAAAGCGGTGTAAGAATCGAGTAGACTTACTGGTCATGATTGTTTAAACATAAAGAAGTTTTGTTTTTGTTTTGATGTATTCATATGCAGCTAAGATATCACAAATGCTAATAAACATTTTTGAATGACTTCATGGAACCCTTTCATACGTACAATCATTCCGAGGATGGTTAATACGAAAAAAATGTCTTCCAATGCCGGGCTAGTGTGGTGGTCGGTATTCGATAATATCCTTAAACGTGATATATTGTTCGTCCTGATAACCGTTACCGGATAACGCTTCTATGGTTTATTAACCAGAAGGCGAATACATAGTGTTGATTACGTTTATTGTTGCACATGCACAGATCACCAAATTTACAGGTACGTTAAGCAAGTATGAAAGAGTAGTGCCGAAAAGCAAGCGGACAAGCAACGGAGTGATCGAGTCAATGAACGAGTTAATGAACAGCATTAAAATGAACATATTTACGTATGGAAATGAATGGATCATCGAACCGACCAGTCGATTGATAGTAAGACTTGCAAAATGAATATATGCGTAGGCATTAAGAAACGCTCAAGAGTACATAATAAAGGAACAATAGTATAGATAGGTTGTTATTGTACGAATTACTCTGTCCGTTAAGTAAGTTAACAAAAAAGCTTGACCAATTTAAGCATGAACAAACTCAATCGTCCGTGAGCTGTTATACTAGCCGTTATCCACTGAAGAGTTGTTTGTAGCGTGACGGTTGCGATCTAGCATAAAACAAAGGCGTGTGGTTTGACTTAAACTATCTCCGACTATCTCACACCTCATTCTTTGCTTATCATGATCTACAACTGATTTGGTAACACCATATGAAAATTTATCAATGACGGAACATGTGTGAAATTATCTGAGAGTATATCGTTTGCTTGGCACTTCGGGATGCGAAAAAGGATAAAAAACAAGTAGCTCGCTTTTCCTTGCTTTCATGTCTCAACTTGTAGTTTCACAATTCATTCTTTCATCAGACTGGTTTCAAGTAGTCACGTCTTTTCGGTATTTGTAGGGACTAAGAATTCCCTCGTACTTGATTCCACGCCAATCGCGAATTGAAAATTGAGTACGCCCGTTTGTGTCCATCTAGTTCTGCCTGCACTATTCCAGGAATTCCTGGTTAATAAAATAACCTAAATACTTCTATTCATCATAGTCCTCCATGTTTTGAACGAAGTATTTATTTCAGTTGTACCTTAAAATCCTATCACTTCATTGAGTAATGTCTATGGATGCCAACGACACTAAATGATTGTCCACGGTGTTGTCCGCGACACTTATGATCAAGGATCACAAATCTTGTCAGACTAGAAGTCAGAAATGATGTGATTTGAAGATGTGTATCTTTGGAAGATGGTCATTTGTCGAGAAGTAAATGAATTAAGCTGGATAGTTTTAGTGACGGATGCGCGACTTCACATACACAATCGTCACCTGTTGTTAATGACAGTTCAAGAGACTTCAGCTAGGGTTTGTCGAGTAAAACCGATTAGGTCAGTATGATTTACGAAGAAATAAAGAACTATGGATGTCAATTCAAAGGTTCGGCCCGATTATTTCAAATAAATTGAGGATTTAGTAGAAATTTAATAGATAATAATTTTTTATTATTTTTCAACAATTAGAAAAATTGTATTTCTGACGTTTTATGACTTAAAGTAAGCCACTTCTTCAACCTAAATAAATAACCGAATTCACTAACTCTGAAGAAGTGGCTTACATTAACTCACGAAACGTCAGAAATGAAATTTTTATGCTCATTGACATACAATCAAAATATATTTATTTCATTAACCTCAACAAGCCGTCTCACCCTAAGTTATCGTGACTGGTGAAGAAGTCTATCATTAGTGCACCAGAAGCCTAGGGACTATAAATAAACCCATATTCCACACCGACATCAACATTTTTCAATAACGCTTTGCTTGGTCATGATATTCGGCAGCTGGAGACAAGGTAAACAGCGGTCATGTTAGACAAAACTGTAAGAGGTACTTTGGGTAGGGAAATAACATGTAAAATGAAATGGAGAAGTAGAAAGGTGAATTTAGGATTTGTACCGGGAAATAAATTTCCAAAATAAATAGTTATGTAAGTCTTTGACATTAATACCAACCTCATTACCTTTAATAGGATAACTTAGCTGAAGGCTCTCGGTCACACCTCCGCATAAAATCACCAGTGGGTACGCCGTGGTATGTACTCCTTAAAACCATTAGCTAGCTTACATCAAACGCTTCGCAATATATAGATAGCCCTTCAGTCATATATTCAAACCACTTCACTTCCGATTTCACTGAGTTTGAATACTTGGATTAAAGAAGTGTTGCGCGTAATTGTGTTGTCCAACTCCGAATACCGAGGCATCTTTAGGTCGATACCTAAACGAGTCCCACAGAATATTCATACTTTAAATTCACATCGCATTCGTGCAGACACATGGCTGTACTTAAGAAATTTACACAAGAGCATTAATATGTCTCTTATGCACACTGAAGGACGATAACAGTCGATTTTAAACACAGTTGTCTATTTATTTACACTCGTCGATCCAATAAGTAAAATTCGAGTGCTAATCAACGTTAAGAGAATTTTTGAAGGCAGCACCAATCGAAAAACTTATACATTGTCGACAGATACAAAAAATTAGTTATAGTATTATATCGTTAACATAAAAATCATAATAGGTTGGGTGATTTAAACTCCTGCACGTCAGCGTAGTTCACCAATGTAGGTGGTCCGTTTATGTGTTTGCAGGGTTATTTTTATTTGGATGAGGATTATGTGACCTAGCATACATCGAAAAAAACTTCGCTACCAATACCTAACGTGGATCGCATTTTTGTAATAGCCAGGTACCACAACTACCTTGGTGACAGTATTAAGCAAGCATGAAGTTACTACAGAAATGCATTATTAAGAATAGGAATTTAAAAAGAATGTGAACACTGCAGCGTAGGTGAGATCACTACGTCCTGCCCATTTATTCACATTGCTTGTACTTGATCTGGGTAAGATTCAGAATACTGGGCGGGATTTAGAGACCTCCTAGATGTATGATACGTCTTGGAAAAATTGCAGTTTCATTCCCCCAACAAAACACCTAAAACTCGATAATTCTTGTCCTGAGGAACGAAACGAATGATAAACTAGTTCTTATATTTTTGATAAACAAATGTATGGGCCTCCTGAAATGTACTTATTTTAATATTTTCTGACATCCGCAATGGAGTTTTTAGAAAACATTACAGAGCACAACAATACATCCAAAATGTACCCTAATTACCTTCGGGTTTTTACCGAAAATGCTTGAACCCATGATATGAAGTATGGTATAAATATCAAAAAATTTCTGTCAGCTGTTTGAACCACCCAGATTTCAAGGGTGAGCGACCTGGTCACAAATCTAGGTCGTCGTCATGGTACCGACCTTTGGTCACGTTAGCGTCAAGCGAAACGCTATTGGTCGATGTGTAGGTTACATGGCCCTGGTATTTTAGTACGTCCGTTCGCGGGCTAACTGCGAATTAGGACATGGCTTCTGTGGGTAGAGGGGATGTGGGTGATATCGACGCACTTCTGAGGGCTGCGGAGATTTTAGAGAAAAAAATGTACTCAAAAGGTATTTGTCGGGGTTTTGTAAGTATAGGTTTGTTTCAGATGGTTATGGCACGGCTGACACACTTCGAAATATTAACGTGGCTCAGTTTCTTGAGTGGTTAAGTACCGGTGACGAAGCTGATGGCAATGTCTCTATGGACTCTAAAATGTAGGTTAAAAGTCAATCATTTGTTTTTGTTAGTTCTCCGACAATGCATGTAGAACTCGCGAATCTCATACAAATGTCAGGATGTCAGAAAATCAGTGAATTACAGACAGTATTCGGATCAGCCCGCAAATTATCTGTAAGTGTATACCATCTAAGGTCTATCAGACGCCTAAATGTTATATACCTAAACATTTGTTCGTTACATCCCCGACTGTAACCTAACTTATCAATCAGAGGTCACATTTTTCAAGTTAGACACCCGATAAATTGTTTTTAAATTTAAAAGTAGAACATATCGTTTTTTGGACTCCAAGATGTGATTTTCCCACATTCGAGGCTCTTGTGATCTATAACCATATAATAATGGGTCGAAATTATTTTGCTCGATCTAGTTTTGATTTTGATTTCATCGGTTAATCTGCCGTTAGTCCCTGAACCAGATATACTTTGATGTATCACGTCGTACAATCGAACCAACCCAACGTAAGTTGTTGATACATATAGGTCATATAAAATGTAGGATTTTTGGGTTTCCTCTTCCTTACTACTCAGATCCCAGCACTTCATTTCGTGTGAATGTCAAACTGCAACACAGGAAACTTCATGTTTTGTAGACACGTGGTTCCCTAACTATCAAAACGCACAACTCACTATACAAACCGAAAACTTCATGCGTTCCAAGTGGTTATGACTCACGTAAGAGCTTACGCTTAACGAACATTTCACTGATGCCTCCAAGTTGGTTTAGGTGCTGAGGTTACCGATAAAAAATGTAAGGTTGATGAGGTCAAATGCTTTTTAACGCTTGGGGCCATGTTTGGCGTGTAACATGGATCTTGCTCTCATAGCGAAGTATACTACTACATCTATCACATTCGGTTGTTTCATGAGACTGGTGCCGTCGTTCTTGGGAGTGTTGGTTCCTGTAGTTTACAATAAGTCAATAATGCAAATAAATTCGCTCTTTATCTTTTATCAAATCTTCAGCCTCAATATTATTTTGTAATTTGTACTTGAATTCATCTATTCTTAGATGATATTCTCTCAGTCAGTCAGTCAGGTTCAACGTAGGACCGGGAACACATATGCACCTGTCCAAGTTCCATACCTCGTTAGCACAACAAGATGAACACCAAATTCATATTAGTTAATTTAATGGTGGTAATACATGAAAAAAAATTGTATATAAGGATATAGTACAGGAAGAAAGACAGATATGAAGCAATTTTAATCTCATGGTTTTAGAGAAGACGAAGTGTGTATACACCTATGCCATTGTGATCGATTCTGAGCCGTCACCCAAAGTCTCCAACCATTGGTTATGATAGTCACGCGGACCCCAACCAAGTAGCCTGCATCTACCAACATGGCTCAGACTAGAAGTTAGTGACTTCAAGCACTGATGCCACGTTTTGGTTTGGCCACTCCTAACTTTCTTTCATCCGTCTCCAACACTAGTTAGCATTACGAGCCGTCGTAGTCGGTGGTTGGGCATATGTAATACGTGGCCTAACCATCTCAGTCGATGTAGATTCACAACATGATCAACTCATTTACCATCGTTCCGTAATACCCTGAGTCAAACTTCACTATTATATACCCGGTGATCACAACATATGTGAGCAATATACCTAAGACGTCTGTGATCAGATACTAGCAACTTACAAGTATCCTCTACTCATAATGGCCACGTTTCGCAGCCATAAAGTAGAACAGGACGAACTGCTGCGCAATATTTTCATCCCTTAATTGATAGACGAATATCTCGTCTTCGCCATAGGTGACGTAAGTTGGCAAAAGCCAAACAAGGTTCTTGAATTCATGGTGAAATTTTTTGTCAGACACTAATCCATTAAGGCTGATCAGACTTCCAAAATAAGTGAAGTTGTCGACGCGTTCGACTACTTCACTCCCTATTCTTAATTCAGGTGTTGACGCAAGCCAGTCCTGGAACAACAATTTACATTTAAAGGAGGAAACGCATTTCAAATATCCGGGCATTGTTACTCAGTGCTAACAGAAGACTCTGCGTTTTATCAGCGTCTTCACCAAACAGAACTATATCATCTGCGTATTCTAAGTACATAAGTGGACCTTCTGGTAGGGTCTATGATGAAATTGAACAAAAAAGTAGATAGTGAACAGCCTTGTCGGACACCACTTGAGGTTTTAAAATCATATGACAGTTCGCCATAAGCTCTGATTCGACTGGTAGTGTTCGAGTAAAGAGCCTCTACAAAGTTTCTGTACTTCTGAGGTACACCTTTCAATGACATACACTGCCACAGAACCTCTCGGTCTACAGAGTCAAATGTTGCTTTTAAGTCAAGGAAAACTATCATTGTCGGACGCCGATAAGCATGCCTGTGTTCTAAAACCTGAAGAATGGTGAATGTGTGATCGATTCAGTCACTACCAGATCTGAAGACAACCTGATTTTCTCGTGTTTGCAGTTCATGAGTCTTAGTTAGGCACCCGATAATTATTGAGGCTAGTATTTTAGACGCTGTATTAGTCCAACTAATCCCTCTATGGTTATGACGGGATTATTTTGGCCCCTTCTTATATATTGGGACAATCAGAGATTATGACTAGTCGGATGAGATTACGTCCAACTCCCAGATTTTAGCCAGAATATTAGTCAACCTAATCGCTGAAATTGGACCACCATATTTAAAGACCTCTGGAGCCAATCCATCAGGACCAGCTGCTCTTCCTCGTTTCAGATTAGCTATAGCCTTTTGAACTTCAACTAAAATCATAGGGCCTTTTTCTATGTTCCATTCAGACTGTTTAGGAATGGTGGGTAACTGTAGAGTAGCTGAAGGCCAGCTAAACTGTTCTCTAGTGTTCCGCCCAACGTTCTAAACATCTGGGCTGAGAGCAGATGAGAGTCTTATCTTTTTCCGAGATTGTCTCGCTTACAGTTGACTTCTTAATTCCGACTTCTTTTATTAGTCTGAAGAGTTATCTGGTATTGCCTACAACCTCTACCTTTTCCATTTCATTTGCTTTCGTTGCCCACCACTGCTCACGATCGTTCCTTAGACTTTTAGTTAACTTAGATCTGATTTGCTTTCGCTCTTCATCTTGTTCAGAGCCTGATGGGATGAGTTTACGAAAATCCATCAGTGTGATGAACTTAGACGAAATCCATTGGTTTTTTGGAACCCTTTGGTTTAAATTACTAATAGATGTTACTGTTGTGTCCACAGCTATTTCTATATCTTTCCAAGCAACATCTGGGTCAGCCTCGTTTACAGAACTACCTAGATGTGAACTCATTTGTTCCTGGAACTTACTTTTGGCTTTCTCGTCACTGAGTTCAATTCTAATGGGTCTTCTTAGTGTAGTTTTTCTGAGTCTTATTTATTTATTTATTTAAACACATAAATATTGGTACAATGAAGCACCAGATAAATATGCGCCTCACAAATCTCATTCAATTTGTGTGAGGGCTGTGATACTGCCCAGGTGCTCAGACTGAAGCAGGCGGTTTTCTTAGGGGGCCACACCCGGAGCCTTTGACCTGAATGTCTGATCCACAAGGCAGTGGAGCATCGTGAGGAGATGCAGTCCCATGGTCGCCGGTGACCAATGACAGGTTCTTCCGCCATTCGTTCCATCAGGATACTGGAGCCCATGTGCACCATTGGTTTGGAATCAGGGTTTTCCAACTCCCCTAGGTGGACCCTCCGTGTTCACCAACCCGGTTAAAGCGCCGGACATTCGTTTTTCGTCCTCTCACTTTCGTAAACAGCACCCCCGCCACGAGAAGGCAGTGAGTAGGACTTCCCTGGCAGAAACTATATATTCGCTGGCCATATGAGAGTATTTCGAGAGGGAGAGGTGACTCTCCCCACTCTCGGCCGTACCAGGGCATTTGGGGGCAGCATCCACGAACCCGCTCTCGCGAGATTCAAACCCAGGACCTACCAGTCTTGAGTCAGAGCCCTTAACCGATAGACCAGTGGTCTTTCTGAGTCTAGTGAGGCCCGAACAAATGCGTGCTCGTATTAAAACGTGACCGGAGTCTAACCGTGTATTCCAGAACGAGTGATAGTCTTCTATCGAACCTCCAACGATGACTGATGAAAATATGGTCTGTATGAGTCCATCGTTGGTTTGGTGCAGGTGGTCACCATGTTAGACGATGTCTCTCCTCATGCTTAAAATTATTGTTCGCTAAAAATGAACGATTGTTTGAGCATAGTTGCGAGAGACGATCATCATTATCTGTTCGCTGAACTGGAATACTGAAATACCTACCTAAATGTCTTTCTGTTTGGTTTAAGCTACCTAGTTGGGTATTAAAGTCGCCTGCTACAAGTACTATGTCTGAACACTTAGCTTTCTGAAGAAGTTCAGAGAGCTTTTTGTAAAAGTCTTCTTTCACTTCATCCAGGCTGCAGTCAGCAATATATCTAAGACATCTGTGATCATATACTAGCAACTTACAAGTATCCTCTACTCATAATGGCCACGTTTCGCAGCCATAAAGTAGAACAGGACGAACTGCTGCGCAATATTTTCATCCCTTAATTGATAGACGAATATCTCGTCTTCGCCATAGGTGACGTAAGTTGGCAAAAGCCAAACAAGGTTCTTGAATTCATGGTGAAATTTTTTGTCAGACACTAATCCATTAAGGCTGATCAGACTTCCAAAATAAGTGAAGTTGTCGACGCGTTCGACTACTTCACTCCCTATTCTTAATTCAGGTGTTGACAATAATCACTAAACAATTTCAAGCAGGTCAAAATAAAAAAATATCAATGACGTTCATTTTATATCCGATTTCAAGTGGGAAGGAGTATGTACCAGTGTAGTATCACCAGTCTCTACAAGAACACCTTGGTCTAAACCGACCATGCCTATTCACACTTGATAAACGAATTGAACTCCTGCTGTAATACCTGTGGTTACCCTGCAGAAGTTAAGAGGTTGAAGGCACCGCTTTCACGTCAAATTAAATACCTTAATTGACTTGTAGTTCTGTCTTTCAGTTATGTTTGTTTAATGTCATCATTGATACCAAGATAGTCCCTCATGAATAAAGACAGCACTATCATTACTGGTCAAAATATTTAACATTTAATGAATCCATTCTTCTAGAGTTTTCGGATACTTTTGATGTATGGTATGAAATTATATTTCTTGCCGTTTATTGGAGAGTACATTTTAGTTTAATACATAAATAATGCAGTACCACTTTCTCTGTAATAGTCAGTCATTTCACTCACCAGGATTTTGGAAAACATCGAACTTGGTTTCAAATGCTCTTTAGTTAATGGTCTCATCTACTTTCTACTTGCAAGCAAGACTGGAATACATACCAGTTCCGGAACGCTGTGCTGTTTTAAAAAAAATGAAACACCCCGAAAATTCTAGCATTTTTACCTCAGTGTGTTCATGAGAGTCAGTATTTCGAAACTGTATATTAAAGGGTTGTTTGCATACTACAAATCGACGTAATAAAACTCTAAATTTACTTGCGCCTGTTACTTCCAATGGAGCATAGGCCGCCGGCCAGAATTCTCCAACCCACTCTGTCCTGGGCCTTCCTTTCTAGTTCTATCCAACTTTCATTCATTCTTCCCATATCTGTCTCCGTTTCTCGGAATTTTCTTTGGTCTTCCTCTTCTCCTTTGGCCTTCAGGATTCCATGTGACGGCTTGTCTTGTGACGCGATTAGGTGATTTCCTCAAAGTGTGCCCTATCCACTTCCAGCATTTCTTCCTCCACTGGAATCTGGTTTGTTGTCTCCCACAGTAGCTTGTTGCTGATAGTGTCTGGCCAACGGATCCGAAGTATCTTGCGTAGACAACTGTTGATAAACACTTGTATCTTCTGGATGATGGCTTTCGTAGTTCTCCAAGTTTCCGTCCCATACAGTAGAACTGTCTTGACATTTGTATTGAAAATTCTGATGTTGGTGTTGGTTGACAATTGTTTTGAGTTCCAGATGTTCTTCAGTTGTAAATATGCTTCTCTTGCTTTGCCAATCCATGCCCTCACATTTGCATCAGATCCACCGTGTTCATCAATGATGCTGATCAGATACGTAAATGTATTCACATACTCCAAAGCTTCTCCGTCAAGTGTAATTCGATTGGTGCATGTTTTGCTGTGTATATTGTGACCTACTGCTTCTGCTTCACTGGTCGTCTTCTCCTAAATTTGTTGTTGCGTGTGTGATAGAAGAGCCAGATCATCTGCGAAGTCTAAATCGTCCAGCTGCATCTTATCTGTCCATTGTATCCCGTGCTTCACTCCAGTTGTTGACGTCTTCATGATCCAGTCGATCACCAGGAGAAAGAGAAAGGGTGAGAGTAAGTAACCTTGCCTGACACCGGTCTTTACCTCGCATGAGTCTGTCAACTGTCCTCCGTGGACGATTTGGCAGTTTAGTCCATCATAGGAGTTCCGTATGATATTTACTATCTTCTCAGGCACGCCGTAGTGTCGGAGAATCCTCCATAGTGTTGTCTTGTCCACGCTATCAAATGCTTTCTCGTAGTCAATGAAGTTGATGTAGAGTGATGAATTCCATTCAACTAGTTGTTCCACAATGATTCGTAGAGTTGCGATTTGGTCCGTACACGATCGATCTGTACGGAATCCAGCCTGTTGGTCTCGAAGTTAGGCGTCTACGGGGTCCTTCATTCTGTTTAACAATACCCAGTTGAAGGTAGGCTTGACGGATGTATTAACTTTGACAATTTGCACATAACAGAATCAGGTAAATACGAAAAACAGCATTTCTGACGTAACCGATCTAGACATTCTCCAACAAGCTCTAACTCTACCCGAACCACTTTAGCAAAAACCTATCACCTTACTTATTACACTGGCTAGGACAATGATGTGTAGGGAAAATATTATTGTTAACTAGAGCAAAAGCATGACATCTATTGACAGAGTTGTTACCTGATGACTTGAGTCGTGTAAGAAAGTCCATGTTGTCTAACTGTATTTTCAACAGAATCGTTATGAACGAATGAACACTATGGAAGATGTGATTCAACAATGGTTGCCGTTGCAAAAACGCAACCGTTCTCCATCTTCCTAGGTGTCTCCGACATTGCATTATCTATATCCCCCATTTCCTAGCTTGATTCGTCGCATTTGATTGTTACCTTCACATTATCTGTATTTTTATTCCCACTATTGGTTTTGCTGCTGCTGTAATAGTGTAAATTATGACCAAGTCCTACAATGTTAATATCTGCAATTCATTAATCGAAGTAAAAGAATCACTGCGACGGTAGACTATTGTTATTCAAGAGCTGACTGGAGCAACATAATGTAGGGTGTTACCCAGGGGTTTACTAGTTCAATTTTCTGAATTGACTTGGCTTTAAATCGGTATCGGCGCAAATGCATTACATTGTCTTCCTTAAACTCTTAACCAGGGTGTATGGTTCCACAATTTTCAGTCCTTATTTTCATTTGTTTTTACTTCCACCCCTGTTTACCTCTGTTAGTGTCGTTGTTTTTACTCGTATTTTCCCTTCCCTTGGTCACTTATTTGTATTGAGCTTAACACTAGTGCTTTAGAACATATATTTATGCCGAATACCACATTCTCATTGAGTTTCCCGTAATAGTCATATTTTGTCTCATCTCTGTTTGTGTTCTGGAGTCCATGAACATTGAGTCAACAAACTATCCTACCAGACCCTAAAATCTTCCACCTCCACCCAACCAGTTTTTTTTAGACCGCTTAAAATGACACCAACGTGGGTTTTTTATGATACACATAAAATTTACCATTTGAAAATACTTTTTTTTAGCCTACCAAATCAACTCTGAGTTATTCAGATGGTGATCCGGTGTTTACATATCATCCTGATGTCTGGAATCAATGTCCTGCATCTCATTTAAGACCAGACTCTGCTTCTTCGAATTTGCCGCAAAGTCACTGTCGTGTCCTCACAGCTGCTACAGGTGTCACTCAATTATCAGAACCATTTCCAGTAGGAGGAATTGGAACGACAGATGAACCAGATGGATTGTCCAACACAAGTGGTAAGTTTTCATGTACACTGTTTTTAATACTGCACATTTTCAAATATGACTTAAATTCGGTTCTTACTACACTACATATGACCGAAAATTGTCTATTACGATATTATTTAAAGGAACATGTTTTCCATTTACCAGTTCTGCAGTTCGACCATTTAAAATCGTTTAATCCTCCACCCCTACTGACTACTATGTTGTGATACGGCTTAAAGTCAAAGTTGTTCTGCTAGCCGAATTGACAAAATAGAACAGTTTCCTACAAACAGCCAGTAGTGCCAATGATCATGCTTTATCATTTTGGGAAGAGGCAACAAATGTTGATTGGGAAAACGTCCTATCCCAAGCGTTCCTGTACTGGACAATGAGCTTCTCTAAGAATTCAAGAGCACTGTACAAATGGTAGCATTTCTAAAGACACCTAAATATAAAAGACCTTAAGTGGATATTCAATAGTTTCTACTCGATTACTGAACAAACCGATACTTATCAAATTTCTTCCTCAGGTAATTCGAAAAATAAGGTTAGAAAGTGATAACCACGCTGTGCACTTCTACCATTACATGTTCCCACCAATGAATTTTTTTCATAATCAACTTCTATCTCTCCATGTTTCTTCAGATTTCTTCATCCCCCCATATTCATAGATTTTATATTGCTGATTCGAAATTACGATGTCGTACCCCAAAGTTCGTTAAACTCTTCAAATAGACTAACAAATGGACTAGTACTTGGCATACAAATTCATAAATGTAAGTCTCCACGTCCCAAGTCAGGATGGCGAAACGAAATTAATTAGATAATAATCAAAGAAATAAAAGTAATCATATTGATAATAGTGGTAAAAAAGACTGTTTGTGCAACGGCAACCATTGTTGAATCACATCTTCCATAGTGTTCATTCGTTCATAACGATTCTGTTGAAAATACAGTTAGACAACATGGACTTTCTTACACGACTCAAGTCATCAGGTAACAACTCTGTCAATAGATGTCATGCTTTTGCTCCGGTTAACAGTAATATTCTCAGAAGGGGGTTTTGTAGAGATTTGTAGTAATTTTATGGTTAAAATCATGAATCGATTGAAGCTAGACCACCACGGAGAACCTGGAAGCACTAGACGGTTGTTCAATTTCGTGGATTGGTTGGAGTTAGGCAATAACACTGTTGTATGCCAGCTCAGTATTCTAGAGGTTAAGCGCTCGCGCGCGAATTTGATAAGTCTTGTGTTCGAATCTCGCGAAGCGGGACCGTGGATGCTCACTGCTGAGGGGTCCCACAATAAGACTGAACGGCTACCCAGTGCTTCCAGGTTATTCATGGCAGTCTAGTTCCAATTGATTCATAATTTCAACTATAAAATAATATTTTCCCTACAAATCATTATCGTAGACAGCTTTGTGCGTCAAGAAAGATGGTGTTTATGCATAACACTTTCAAACGAACTTGATTGATGACGGCACATTGCATCATAAAGCAGTTTTCTGCATTTTCTGCATTCAAAATAAATTTTTCATGTACAGTCACTCTGAAAATCACCTGTGAGAACATTTGGAGTTTACGCACACCCCATAGATTCACAAATATACTATAGTTGATCTAAGTCTGAAAAATTAATGATTCTTTTGAAGCTTTCTCTGCCATGTTACTTATGATTTATGGATGCTGTTGAAGTTTGAGTACTACCACAGAGTCATCTTCGTGTCCCTTTATACAGAGTAATGAATACAGAAATTTTTACACAACATCACTAGTTTCCAAAAATGCGTAACCTTATTAAGGATGTCTGAGCGATGACCTTTCTTTTGTCCGGTTTCGTGAATCAGACTGCCACAAGACTTGCTGATCATTAAAACCAAGTGCTCCTTTTGAATTGTAAAATACCTCAGTTTTACTTCAGTGACCATGCCCTTATTTCAGAGCATGCGGATTAGATGCTAAGTCTGAAACATACCTGATTTTCCTATATTTATCGTCCTTGAGTTCCAATTGACAGCTAATAGGTTTCGAATGTTAAGATCTTGGAAATGATGTAAATCAAATTGATTCCCTTATGGTCATCACTGAAAGATTCGTGTTTTCTTGAATATTGTAATGATTAGGAATCAAGACCGTCTGTTACTGTATCACTCTAGCCATCATAAAGAAACACCTGGAACTAAGTTATCATAGCCTGCTGCTCTTCCATAGTTCAAGTCAATTATGTTCTCAATTCCTTTAAAAGTTGAAGGTGAGACCGGAAATTTACATCAAGCCTATTTAATTTTCCCTTCAGTCTTTCCAATCACGTAACTTGACAGTGTTAATTTTTTACGTAGCTACCTTGCTACTGTATCCGTACTTTTAATCGTTTCAGTCAGTCAGTCACAATATAGAACTTCGTACGTACGTACATCAGTTCGAGTTGCCATACCACATTATCACAGAGATGCAGTTGTCAATTCAAATCCCATAGTGGTAGAAGTAGTAAGAGTATAATCAGAAATCCAAAAGATAAGGGTTTGAAGATGTTCAAGGAGTATAATCCAGTGAAATAAATTTAAAAAGAGAAAAAGGATAGAGAGATGAAGAATTCAGAAGATTAGAATTTGGTAGATCACTTTTAATTGTTTACTCTTTAGCTGTAAGTAGTTCTGTTCGCACCATAGAAATGACTTAGTATTTCAGTATATGCTAAATATTACTTATGAAAGTAAACTGCCTAGCTTATTCCAGACTAGCCTGTTTCTTTAAATTGTTCTTTCTTTTGTTTTTCACCCTTGTTATAATGAAATACATTTCCAGAATATGTACTATGTACCTATTTTTAACCCACCTTTCACTAAAAGTACAATGTGTTCTTTTTAACTCATTCTATTTTAATAAATAAATTTGGTTATTTGTCATATTTGATGCTTAGACTTATATATGATAAATGTAAGTTTCGCAAATCTGTGGTTCATTGCACATTACCCGCTAAACCTGCAATACCAGCTTGTTAAAAACTACCAAGTAAAGTTGAGAGTGCTTGGCAAAATAAATCATCCCTCAAGCTGTAAATCACAGACGATGAGCTTATTATTATTTTCTCACTTACTGAGACTCGTTTATTGAGTGTACTAAGAGTCGAATCTAGCTCATCACTTCAAACTCGATGTCGCCAGTCTCCGATAATCAGCTATAGTAAAACAAGAGTATCAGTAGTCACAACAACTTATCAAGTACGCACTACTGGGTATCAATCCAATCATTCACTAAAAATTGTTTTCTATGTTTTTCATTCATATTCCGAAAGTAGCCGTTAGCAATTTAATTTAAATGGATATAAGCTTTTGCTGTATACTTGTACCGCAAAGGCACTTTTCTTAAAATATCAGCCATTTAACGAAAGACTTACCATTTCTGAGGATCAAACAGCTCTTGATTTATTCATTATCTAATTTATACATCTCATTTCTGTCAAGGATTTTTAGAAAATGTCCATTTACATTTTCCGTTACAGATGATGTTTGTATGGATAGTTCAAGTCAGGACAGCTATTCTGGTAATACAGCTCCCGTACGTGCGAATGCTAATGTTATGCACATTTTGAACACATCCCTTGGTTCTGAATTTAATGGCCATATGGATCCTGGGAATAATAAATCTCAATATTCTAATTGTCGTTTGAGATCAGCTCTACTAACACCTTATTCTCCTGGTTCTGAAGTACATTCCACTAACAGTGTTAGACACTTGAATCATTTTTTGAATAAGGATATCTCCACTTCAAACATACCGCTTCAACAGAGACCAGTTACTGAAAGTATTCAACCTGAAATATTTTCTAATAGTAATTCATCACAACGGCTACTGGAAGTTCTTTCTAGGACGTATGAAAATTATGATGATTTAGATCAACGTAACTCTAAGTTTCGAGCATCTGAGAGCCCTCAAAGTACTCCAACTGTTCATCAACAAACTTCCTGGAGTGCACCTCCGTCTGTCTCATACAGTAGTTGTGCTACTCCGGATAAAGAATGTTGCGATGCAATAAATCAAATTGAAATTCCTCAACCAGTTCGTCCAACACGTTTCAGTTGTTCAAGTTTACCTGTAAAGAAACGCAAGTTGGATTGGAAACAATCAGATAATTGGTTGTCTGATTTACAGTCATCTGATAAGCATTTATGTAAATTTAAGAAAACTGCCAACATTAATCCTTCAGATCTTGTTAGTACTACTGGTTTTATGACGACATCAAATCATGATAATCCCACATACTGTTCATCAAGTGGGAGTATCCCAGAAAGACGAAAATCAGTTAGTGGTATATCTGTATCGGATAATACTCAGCAGTCTGTCATTTCAAAGATCACCATTCCTCTGTTGAGAACTTGTTCTGTGCCTGTAAACAGTGAACAACGTATGAGTAGGTTTCTAAGTATTTTTTTATTCATATTTAATAGTTCTCAAGTTTTTTTTTAACTCTAAATCAATGTGAAGTGATTAAATATATGGTCGTACTATAATAAAATTCCTTAGAACAACGCTGTCTGAACCTATTTTATTGCTGAAGACTTTTTATTTGGATCTCCAAAGCTATATATCCCTCGGGATGAACTGTCCTTGCACTCAACTTATTTTAAACTCTGCTGTTGCGAAAATTAAGTAACTCGTCATTCGCACTGCCTTTTGAAGACAAATTAATAATAAAGGGCAGGAAGGAAAATAAAGCAAATGAGTGCTTTACGAATCATAGGTAAACTATAACTTTGCCAAAACTATGTTCTGTAAGAGGTCTGATTAATTACACTGCATACAGCAGACTAGGAAACAAAGTATGATACGTTTTAAGCGCTATTCTAAATCTGTTTTGACCAGAAATGCAAGTGTGATATTCATAAACATAGGAGTTCTCGTTTTCTAAGTGAGGTACACACTTTTCGTGTTTACAAATTTGACCCAACAGAAGGACGAAGCTTCTTCATCTGTCCCATCACAGTTCAAATCTGCTCGTCATGAAAGAACGCTGTTCGTTTCCAAACCCCGCTTTCGTTGTCCAACCGTAAAAAACAAATAATACAGCTAAGTAAGATTCCACCCCTTATCTGGTTTTACAGGTTGTTCAATTCTGAATTCAACTAAGTAGAGTATCTATAAGGTTAGATGTGTAGTTAAATTTGATTTATAAATCGTGAAAGTAATAGTAAACAACCTAGGCTTTTTTTCAGAAAAATGCACAGAACTCTTTTAATTGCTTGAGCCACCCGGTTAATCAGCTGTCTACGCATATGCTAAGGCCAATTGATTGCATGCATTCATATTGATCGCTTGGCTGTCACTTGGCCTGTGTTTTCAGTAATTCCCATGACCATGTAATTATAGCTAGTGGATAATTTCTAGACATATTGAACATACAACTGCCTGTCCGTAATACTATTGCTACATATCGATTAACCTGAAGAGACAACTATGATTGGTTAACTTATACTCAGGTGGGGGTGTCGCTTAAATGCACGCGTATGCCAAACTCATAGCCTACCAAATCAATCCCATGAGACATCCTTTTCCGAAATCTGCAACTGATCCAATTTTAGGACCTGTCATCAAATTAAACGCAGTAAGTAGTTTTCCTAACAAATTGGAATCAGTTAGCCAACCATCCAAACCCTCAGAATATCTATCTGCAATTTTCGACTCCAAAAACCTCGATCTCTCAGACCTAGTGGAGATACATGACCTTGAACAAGTTCAGGATTCAACTATAAATATTTCCCTACTTCTGTTAAGTCTTATGTGATCGGCTCCAAGCAGTTATCCCTTGTGCACTGCGGTCACGCTCTCTGATCATTAAGGCCACTTCTAATCCAATTTCGTTTTCAGGTACCTGTAGAAGAGCTCTTCCATGATGTGTTCAACCGGAAAGTGATAACCACCCTCATGCCTCTAACAGTACTGCAGATCAGTGAGTCAGAACTAACCACTTGGATATTAGAATAATCACCAACCAGCCAATGAGCTACAAAATAAGACCAGACAACAAGATGAACACCAAATTCATATTAGTTAATTTAATGGTGGTAATACATGAAAAAAAATTGTATATAAGGATATAGTACAGGAAGAAAGACAGATATGAAGCAATTTTAATCTCATGGTTTTAGAGAAGACGAAGTGTGTATACACCTATGCCATTGTGATCGATTCTGAGCCGTCACCCAAAGTCTCCAACCATTGGTTATGATAGTCACGCGGACCCCAACCAAGTAGCCTGCATCTACCAACATGGCTCAGACTAGAAGTTAGTGACTTCAAGCACTGATGCCACGTTTTGGTTTGGCCACTCCTAACTTTCTTTCATCCGTCTCCAACACTAGTTAGCATTACGAGCCGTCGTAGTCGGTGGTTGGGCATATGTAATACGTGGCCTAACCATCTCAGTCGATGTAGATTCACAACATGATCAACTCATTTACCATCGTTCCGTAATACCCTGAGTCAAACTTCACTATTATATACCCGGTGATCACAACATATGTGAGCAATATACCTAAGACGTCTGTGATCAGATACTAGCAACTTACAAGTATCCTCTACTCATAATGGCCACGTTTCGCAGCCATAAAGTAGAACAGGACGAACTGCTGCGCAATATTTTCATCCCTTAATTGATAGACGAATATCTCGTCTTCGCCATAGGTGACCTGTGGAGAATATAGTAATTTTGAGAGTTGAATTGATGGTTCAATCCAGGCTAGACTACCACTGAGAACCTAGAAACAATTGACAGCCGTTTCGTCCTATTATGGCACTTTTCAGCAGTGCGCATCCACGAGACTCTAACCCAAACTTCTAGGACATTGAGCCGGTATCCAGCAGTGTTAATTCCTAATTTCACTAAATTCATGATCTTGCGTAAGCCTTTGTTCATTGCCTGAGGTGGATAACTGTCTGACACGTGACATGAATTGAACTCTACTGTTCACAACTTCTCACTAGAACTCCAGGAAATTCATTTTGAATCTAGTCATGAATGAGCACACGGTAATCGGAATGGGGATTTGTAGAGGCCGTAGGCCCTGATTTCGAGTCTCACGTGCGGGATCGTGGATGCGCACTTCTGAGGAGTTTTATATCAGGATGAACTGGCCGTCCAGGGCTTCCAGGTTTTCAGTGGTTGTCTAACTTGTATTGACTCATGGATACAGACGATAAAATTATTATTATATTACCATAAATAAATTAATATATTTGTAATATCCCAATGAGTAGCAAGTTTAATTTTTATTTGAAATTATCAAGTCAAACCTTGGTAACTATACCTATTATTATTAATATTTATTGTAGCTCGAAAATATAAGTACTGTGACAACTTGATGTGATTTAATTGAAGTGTTTTCAGCTTATTTAATAATATATTGAAAACCAACACAATTCGTTTTAATGTTAGACAACCTAAATATCACAACTTGGTTGCTAGTTTATCTTATAAAACCTCTTTGGGTGTAAATACGTACATTCGAATGCCAAAATAAATAAAAGTTATTCACTTCATCAGATCTGTGATACCGGTCTCTTTCTGATATGTAAATATCTAGAAGAATGTGAAGACTTAGTTTTGTTGTATAACATTAATTTTGAAGTCACGATGACTCTAGCACTCATCATATATTTTATTTGCTTTACCAGTCGTATGTATAGAAACAGGTCTTGAACATTTAAACTCAGTTACATCGTACAATAATATGTGGATATTAGGGGCAAAATAATTTAAGATAATAGTAATATCAAGATAGAGGAATCTATACACCATAGAAATTAAAATAAAAATAAGTGAATATTTGCTCTATGGTGAATTCTAATAGATCATATGTTAGGATGAAATGATTTTAATGGAGTTATGTTCTCTGAGCTGAAAGGTTCATTAGTGAAATTTTCGTGGTCTTGCTAGGCAAAACTACCATCAGCGCAAAACTCAGACGGATGTGAGCTATTCACATTCCTCTAAATATGACTAACATCTCGTTTTGTTAACATTAGATTTGATTGGTTGTTGGTGTCAACACTTGCTCTGTTATTGTTTACAATTCTATTTTGATTTAATGTTGAAAAAATAAGCTCTAAATCATATGTGATGAAATTCAAATAGCTTACTTTAGTTTGAATTTAGTACTGCTAATGTTGTCTAAAAAGAACGAAAGTCCCGCTATTAAACTACTTTATTCAGAGAATCCAACTCAAAGTCCGATAAAGGCACTATTATTTATTTGACCTATAATATAACCGTAAAATAGGTTTCCGAACATTTTTTCCCATGTAGTTCGTATTATATTACATAGTTGTTGAAGTTCAAATAGTCGATTATAGTAATGATAACTAAGTAACAGATTTTTCTTCGCTAATAACCATAATCACTAATATAATCAGTTGTGATGCTCATTCTATAACTATCACTAATGTGTTCAAATGATAAACTCGTTAAAAGGAAAATTGCATGTAGTTTCTCTAATAACTATGTAAATCAATCACATTGATGATAATCCTTCAAAGTTTCAAATCTAGATTGAATGAAGTATATAGTGTTAATGTAAACTTGGCTACTTTTTAAACTGATGCGAATTTCCTATCAGACCTGAAGTTGCTTACCCATTTACTCACATATCTGAATAACCTTACTGTTATAAACAAAATTATTATTATGTAATATATATTGTGATCAATATAACCTGAATATGCTTCTTTTTTTCTAAAGTTTTCATTAAAAACAAAATTGCTTCATTGTTTCTTTTCCAGTTCATTCACCAAAACTTTTAGATACTTTGACATTTTCTAAACATTTAATTGAAGAGAAAAAATCGTTAATAAAAACACCTTATCAAAATCATTTTTCTGTTCTTACTCGTACACTAACCGGTCCGGACAATATTAAAAATCATATAAACAGTTCAAAACAGTATGCCTCTGAGCTAACAACAATGTCAAATGGTTCGAATGTTTCAAAATTATCAAAAGATAGTATTTTTAACATGAGTGATAACAAGAAGAGGAAGTATGCCACTCTTTCCAGTGTTGATTTATGTACTACAACAGGGGGTAGCAACTATTATCCCGGTGTTTTTAATAATAATAATAACTATAGTAATAATAATAGTGATGAAGATTCGTATATTTCAAAAGTCAGTCATTCAACGACATCTTCCACTATTCACTACAATACAAGGAAACTGATAACAGCGGATTTATTATTTCGTTCACCACATAATACTCATAAACATCGTTCTCATGCTCATAATAACAATGAAAATAGTAATAATCAATTAGCACTGCCTGATGGCTCTGACAACATTCATAACCGTAATGAAATATTTGATCATACAAATGGAGTTCGTCAACATCATTGTTTCTCAAAACTACAAACTGCTAGAACTGTAGAAATGAATGTATCCAATTTCGATCACAATAATAATAGTAGCAATAATAAATTGAATGGATCCACACCAGTGGTAGAACGCAAACACAATGGTCTTATACAAACTATACCGCATAATGAACATAACAATACTGTATCACATCAACTATCTCATACACTCAAAGAAGATACTGTTTATAATTTTAATTCAATTTGTCAGAAACAATCTAACAATTCGGATAATAGTATTGATATCACATCAGGTCAAGACAGGAATAATCTTGTCAATAATTACCAACATCTATCATCTATTATTAGTCAGTCAACAATGCTTCCTAACCATGCTGTTACTACTACCTCCACTCCAACAACAGTTACTAATGTTATTAGTCATAATCTAAATACTTATGTAAGTAGCTATTGTTTTTCATATTCGATTAATGATGGTTTTTTGAGATTAAAATTGTGTGAAATTATTCGACGTTATGTTTCGTTGTTTCACCTTTAAACTACTCTTTATTTCTTTGAACATTATTGTAGAGTGAAATAGTTCATTCATTGTAGTGGAGCAATGGCTCAGTAGTTAAGGTGTTCAACTTTGATCCATTAAGTAGCAGGTTCAAACCCCTATCTGCCTATAACGGTTTAGGCAACCTACTAGTATCACTAACCCTCACGCTTAGAATGCGGGTCATCGTAGTTTAGGCTTAATTAAGTGATTTATTATAAGTCTACATACTTTAGTAAATTATTCACATGCTACAATACCTACATAAGAGCAAGGTCCAAAAGTACAACAACGAGTGCCAATCAAATCACACTTGATAGAAAAGCTCTGGAAGAGGTGGAAACTTCTACGTAACTGGGTAGCATCATTAATAAACAATAAGGATCTGATACAGACGTAAAGGCATGAATTGGCAAAGCAATGATAGAACTCCTGCAATTGAAGAACATCTGGAGCTAAAAACAACCGTTAACCAATACTAAAGTCAGAATTCCCGGCACAAACATCAAGACAGTCCTATTGCGCGGAGCTGAAACTTGGAGAACTACAACTACCATCAAAAATGTCTACACAATGTACCCCAGATCCATTGACTAGATACCATCAGCAAATAACCTGTGGCAGAGGACTAATCGGCTTCCAACTGAAAAGGAAATTAGGCAAAGACACTGGAGATGCACAGGGCATGCATTGCGGACATCATCAGACTGCATAACTAGCCAAGCTCTAACTTGAAATCCCCAAGGCGAAAGAAAAAGAGACAAACTAAAGAATACATTGCTCCGGAAATTGGAGGCAGACATAAAAAGAATGAGTAGCAATTGCGAACAGCTGAAAAGGAGGGCCCAAAACAGTCGGTTGGAGAATCCTGTTCGGTGATCTATGCTGCACGAGGGGTAAAAGGCGTGAGTAACTACCTACCTACTTGTCTAAACTTGCATCTTGAACAATGTTTAAAAAAATCTGCTTAGGTTTTTTATGTAACATATGTCTAGTGCTTCATAAAAACATGATTTGTCCTTGGGCTAATTTAGAACACACTAAAAATAAAAGTTATTATAGGCCCATTATCTTCATCAATCCTGCTAACATGTCTTTATTATATATGGTTTTGTCCTCCTTTGAAACTACACACACACTCAATGGGACTTTTCTTTCTCTAAGCATCCTGCACTAAAAATCGAAATTCTATATTTCACGTCTAATTATATTTTATAAGAATTGTAGATATGAAAGAATAATCATGTACATAAATATTTAATGTTTTCATAGGTTGATTCAAGCATCAAAAGTGATCGTAAGCATGTTTCTGTGAATTCCAGTCCTCTAAAATCAGTTATGCCAGAGTCTACAATCAATAAACCACCAGCGGAACAGTTCAAATATTCACATGAAAATTTACCTAGTGGTGCAACCACATTATCACCATCATCATCAGTATCATCATCGTCTATGTTAACAAATCAAATGAATGTTAACGGTGCACATGTTATTATGATGCTTTCCCCGTCTATCACAATCCCGACATCTCTTCATTCATCTTTAACCAGTCAGATTATTACATCGTCATCATCATTGTCAAATGTTCAACAATCTTCACCCAATTATAATAACAATAATAATTCTAAAATCATACCACATTCATCTGATTTTTCTCAAACTTATACTACCCCCGCCATCACCACATCAAACTTTGTAAATAGTAGTAGTGGCACATCATCCTTTCCTTTACTTTTAATTTCTGCTTCTTCATCGGCCAGTGCAGTTGCATTAGCTGAGGCTGCTGCTTTAGCTACAGGAGTACCGTCGACAAGTTTTGTACCTGTTCCTGTACAAGTCACTACCTATGTCCCTCCACCATCATCAACAACAATCACAACAACACGATCGATAAAAAATGAAGAGCATAATGAAAAATTAAAAAGTCAATGTAAAATTTCCAATTCATCGAATAATGAGATTAACACCATTTCAAATCAACATTTTATTCTGTCAGTCATGGTGACTGATAATCATGTTCATAATAATAATGATGATGATAACAATAATGTTAATGGTAATAGTGATAATCAGAAATCATTATCAGTTCAAAGAAAAATCCCATTTGTCTTAAGTACACCTAGTTTACATCCGAATTTCAATAATATTCAAAATGATAGAAAAAGTATTAGTGATGGTAAACAACACCATTCCACTCCAGTATTAAAAGATATTTCATCGACTAACACATCAGATGATCATGTTTATGATAGTAAATTGACCCATCAAGCTGTATAATGTCGTTGATGATGTTAAAAACTGAGGGGGGATAGGCAGCATAAAAATAGAAAGTGTCAAATAATTGGTAAAGGAGATGACAAATACAATCTCTATACTTGTAAACTCACAATATGCCTCCATCCCTACTACCATTACTACTGCTTTTGTTGTTATACATAACAGTAGTATGCAAATAAAGGTCTCTTTATACTTATCAATGTATCCCCTTGATCTTATTGACTATTACTTCAACTAAGTGAGTTGTTCACCCGAAATAGTTCTCTTTTGATCATTACCTAGGCGATTATTACTTCTGTTTTTTTTTAGTTTCCCTTCTACAGTTATTTCCATTTATCGTCAAAATAATTTCATTTTTTCTGTTGACATGTATGTGTGTTCATGTTTCAATGTTCCAACCATCAACTATAACATTTCTTCTAAATAAATAAGATCTACGTTTTTTTTTAATTATTAGGTGTCGAATAATTACTAATAGATTACCATATCACATTAATTATCTCATACATTTTTCAGTTTTTATCGTTTTCTTGTTTTTACAAATTATTTGTATATTTAGGTTTCATTACGAATCTATCATCATTAGTGTTATTATCATTTTTGTGTGACCTCTTCACTACGCGCCTATAAACACATCCATCCTACATTTGCTATTCTCCCATCACCACCACTCTTTTTCTGTATTGTTTCCTACCTTGGACACATGTACGTAGATATATATATATATATATATATATATATATATATGCTAAACTGTTTTTTCTCACTTTGTGTGCACTATTTTTTGGTATATATGCAGTTGTAGTTTACACAGTATCAATATGCTGCATGTAAACACAAAATCCCCTTCTTTGTTGTCTTTTCTCTCTCTTCATCATTAGCTAATAAGAAAAAGTGAATTGACATTTTGAACAGTTGAACAATCCTGCCGTGCTTCAGTCTCCTTCCTTTCTAATTCGTTTATTTCTTGTTTCTTATCTGATTTCTCAACATACCATGTTTTACAATTCAATGGAAAGGGAGCTACTTCTATTGAGATTTCTATGGGCAGTGATGTTATATTGTTATCACTGTCTTTTTCATGTGTGTTTGGTTTTTGAATAATTTCTTACTGGATCATTACTACTCTGTGATGAGCACGGGAACTTTGAGCGATACAATTGTTATACCAAAGCAAAATATACTAAACATATTAAAGAAACTGTTTCAAGGAAATGAAATTGCATTTCTCCCTCCCTCTACTGTTCATCGTCATCAACGCTAGACATCTAAAAACAATTTCATATCACCCGGTCCACATATTAGGCTCCTATTGTTATCCAATCTATATCACAGTGTTTGGTTCTTTTATCTCCGTCCTGTTCCCGCCCCCATTCTCCAACTCAAATCACGCATACTAACCTTGGTGTTGATTGTAGACACCAACTAATTGTCAGTGATATATTCTTTGTCTCCTCTGCTATTGATCATTTCATAAATGTTTACTTGCCATTTTGTTATATTTTTTTCAATAAGGGAATTTATTCCTATTTCTACATTTATGTGTAACATCACTCAGTTTTTTTATTAAAGAAATACAAAATAAAACTTTTCAAGTCCATCATATTTACCGCCGCCACTCCTCTTACTCATCTACTTGTGTTAACACAAAAAGGGAAAAAATTCTAATTCTCGAAAAAATATACAGGTAGGCAAAATGGTCTGGAATACGGCGTTTAGTACGTATTATTATTGTTCACTTTTGCTAACGTTATTTATCATCATCAGTCTACTTGTTCTTTTACCAAATACTCTACTCTTCTTGCCTTTTTTATTCACTAATTGTTGCGATTCCGCGGTAGTTTTCCTCAAACTTTATTTGTTGTCTGTTCTTCATCTCTTGCTCCCTGTGTGCGTGTGCGTATGCGTACTTTCGCGCACATTTGTGTATGTTTATCTGTTTGGTGATATTCTTTTTACAATAAATTGACGATTATGGTGGTATTAACGATTTCGGATAATTCTTCATTTTCTCTTCTTCATATTTTTGTCAAATGTGTTAATGCTTTTGTGTGTGTGTAAGTATGGATAAAATATAAATCATCTTTGAATACAGTAATATTAGTGTTATGGCGTAATGTAATCTGACTAATTATTTATACCTTTAGTTCAGTAAATTTTAAACAGGAAACAATAGAGGTTGAAAATTTAAAAACTATTAATAGTAAATATACTAACTATCGTCTATCTGAAAACTGGATATTAGCAGAAGAGTGTGGTATAAATTGGTAAGGGTGTTTACTCTTAGCATTGGAGACTATAGAAGACTGTTGGTTTAGTCCTCAAGGTTTTTTTGCACTAAAAATTCATGGTCAGATGTTTCAAGTAATTTTATTGATACCACGAACCAATCTAAGATAACCACTGAATGGCCACTTCATCCTAGTATGAGACTCCTCAGTAGTGCGCGTCCACCACCCCACACGTGGTAATCAGACCCAGCACCTCTCGTTTCGCGCGCCAACGCTTAAACTCTGGACCACTGGTTCAATGATGTACAAGCTTAACTCCAGTCAGCCGACCATATTGCGCGTCCGTCTTCCATTGTCTTCGGTAGGTAACCTCACACTAGCCACAGTTTCGCTTCACAGCTCACTAAAACTCCGGAATTTTCGAAGCTAGTCACTCGGGTTGTGAGGTTGTGGGTGCGTACTGTTGAGGAATCCTAGGCCAAGACAAAACTACCATCCAGGGCTTCCAGATTCTTAGTGGTTGTCTGATTTATATCAGTTTCTGATTTCAATGAAATTCAGCAACCACATACTGGATTTCAGTAACTGTTGAACTGTACGATCCAATTTTGTCTTTATTGGGCGCTTGATTGATCTGTGGGGAGGGCGACGACCTAGGCTTTAATACTAGGAATTTAGTAATGCTGGTTACAATTCATGTATTTATTTAGGCACTCAGAATTATCTAGACAAGAAAAGGTTCTCACGGATCTTTGTCAAGTGAGTAATTCACTCGCACTAACCTACTCATGCTGGAATCTCACATATGTCATTTAATAATACTTTTCTTATCTTTAATCATTCTAGGTGGCTGGTATCTGACACATGATAAATTAAGGAACAATCAAGCGTAAACTATCAATCTTAACGGGATGAAAATTTACAGTTCTTTTCAGACAGATCCAAGGTCCTTAAGATCAATACTAATTTTTCTCGACGCTCAAGCACTTATATATGATGTTGGAGCAATAGCTAATTGATTAAAGCGATTGGGTTGCAGTTTTGAACAAGACTTATTCTTATTTTGATTTGTGTAATCGGATTTTTGCATTAGCCCTCATATAAAAGTGTCACTCAAAGCTCCGAATAAATGAACCTACACTCGATTGTTGTGCTTTTCATTACGCTGTCGGCAATTATAATCATCTAATAATTCATCAACTGAAAATAAATTTAGTATTAGTGATATTCTTATTTCTAAGCCGTCATTTCAGATAGCTATTGCACACATTTGACTCAGCCTGAAACGACTAGATATTCAACAAATAGAAAAATAGTGTGAATTCGTTTTAATTTCGTTAAACAGAAATTTTGAAAATACAATAGATTGTTGAAAAGAATTTATAACATTAGTCGGAAGTTGTCTCCACCGAATGCTTTGTATTACACAGCATAGAATATGCCTGTTATATCTTGTGATAAAAGTTCTGTACGATCGAGTTTGTTTTGACACGAATATATTTGATCTTAGACTCGATAGTAAAGAGAAGACAGGACTTTCAGGATACCTTTATATTCAAAACTTACGCCTGCTACCCCTTATGGAACAGCATAGGCCACTCACTAGCATTCTCTGTCCCGGATAATCCTTTCCAGTTCTTCCCAGTTGCTTTTCATATTTGCTTCCGATTCTCGACGCAGTGTGTTCTTTGACCCCCCTCTCTTCCGTTACTCTTCAGGATTCCGTGTCAGTGCTTGCCTCGTGATACAGTTTTGCAATTTCCGTAATGTATGCCCTACCCAACTTTAGTGTCTTTTCCTAGTTTCTTCTTCAGATGGAACCTGGTTTGTTCGCTCCCACAGTAGGCTGTTACTGATGGGATCCGGTCAATGTATATTCAGTGTCCTACATAGACAATAGTTTATAAATATTTGTACATTCTTGAAATTGGTTGTAGTAGTTCTCCACGTTTCAACTCCGTACAGTAGGACTGTCTTGACGTTCGTATTGAATATTCTTACTTAGATGTTGGCTTACAGACAGTTGTTTTGAGTTCTATATGTTCTTCAATTGTAGAAATGCTGTCCTTATTTTGCCAATCCTTACCTTTACGTCTACATCAGATCCTCCACATTCATCGATGATGCTGCTGACCAGCTACGTGAAACATTCCACATCTCCCAGGTTTCACCACCAATTGTGATTAGCTTGGCGTTCTCCGTGTTGTATTTGAGGATCTTACTTTTTCCCTTGTGTATGTTGAGGCATACTGATGCACAGGCTTCTACTACACTGACTGCCTTGACTCACATTTGTTCTTGTATATGGGATAGGAGGGCTAGGTCATCTGCGAAGTCCGAATCGTCTAATTGATTCTGAGACGTCAATTGTGCTCCGTGCTTCTCCTCAGATGTCGAGGTCTTCATAATCCAGTCGACCGTAGCTGCCACCTAGAGGTGGTGGTTGGGCTTGCTTATCTTGATGACCCAACCGAGCTATATTGGCTGGAACATACGTTCCTGTAGGTTCTGCCATGTCAAGCAGGTCGATTGGAGAACGGTAAGACTAAAAGCAGCAACTCAATGTCCGAAGGCGAAGTCGTACTGCTGACTGTAGAGGGGTGTGACAGCAGTAAGATGTTCCCCTCGGACAACCAGCATCCGCAGCGATGCTGCCTTCACACAAGGAAGGAAGGGGTTAGAAAAGGTCGACCGTAAAAATGTCACACCTAAACCTACCGGATTTCCGTCTCCGGCGGTAAGACCCTTTGAAGAACGGAGCTAACATGTCAACAACCTCCCACAAAAAGGCCATGCGTGACCGACCTCAAGCAGTTGTCCCTTGGGCTCTGCGGTCACGCTCCCGGGTCGTTAAGATCAACATTAATCCAACTTCCTTTTCAGGTCCCTCAAGGAATATCCTTCCACGGTTTGGCCAGCCGGTAAGTGATATTAGCCCTCATACCCGTAACAACACACAACAACATATTGGTCACATTCAAATCCTTCCTACACTTCCCAATAACTCTTATCTCCACGACTAACCCTTCTCATGTCCTTTTGTCACCTCGCACCGCTAGGGCAAACTATTCGAGTTCACGGAACGTTATTTCTGGTCTCCTGAAACCACGCTCTAAACTACATGTAGGAACTTTTAACGTCCGAACATTGTGCCAAATAGGACAACAGGTTTCCTTAGCTAGAACTTTAGAATCTCGCACCATTGATATGTGCTGCGTCTCTGGAACGCGCATACAGGATCCGAGGAGTGTCATTCATTTGACTTCACCACGTCCAAATAAAGAACCAACTCGATTCATTCTTCGTGTATCTGAAAGCCCTGATGCTGTTTCCCGTGACCTCGCTGGTGTAGGTATAGCATTAAGTCCTAGGGCAGAACTAGCTCTTTTAGGCTGGATCCCAGTAGACAGTCGCTTGTGCACTGTCCGACTAAACGGAACGGTAAGGACTCGGAAAGATAGGGACACTCGTCGTCTCTGCTTACACTCCTGCCCGCAAATGCCCTGGTACGGCCGAGAGTGGGGAGAGTCCACTCTCCCTCTCGAAATGCTCTCACATGGCCACGCGAATATATAGCCTCTGCCAGGGAAGGCCTACTCACTGCCTTCTCGTGGCGGGGGTGTTGTTTACGAAAGTGAGAGGACGAAAAGCGAATGTCCGGCGCTATAACCGGATTGGTGGACACGGAGGGTCCACCTAGGGGAGTTGGAAAACCCTGATTCCAAACCAATGGTGCACATGGGCTCCAGTATCCTGATGGAACGAATGGCGGAAGAACCTGTCATTGGTCACCGGCGACCATGGGACTGCATCTCCTCACGATGCTCCACTGCCTTGTGGATCAAACCTTTAGGTCAAAGGCTCGGGGTGTGGCTCCCTAAGAAAACCACCTGCTTCGGTTTGGGCACCCGGGCAGTATCACAGCCCACACACAAATAAATGACATGATGAATTCTATTGACGATACTTTTCTCGCTCATATTAGAAGCAAGACAATTTACACTATTATTATTATTATTATTATTATTATTATTATTATTATTATTATTATTATTATTATTATTATTATTATTATTATTATTATTATTATTTACTACGTCGCTTTTTCACCCCATTTATTCCCAAATTGTGTATCCTTCCTTTCCAACTTATGCAGTAGCTCGCCCATGGTGGAAACTCTGTCCTATCTAAACGATCTCCAGTCACTGTCTGGTTGAAAGTGAATGCTTCCACCGATTACGAATACTGAAGCAGTCTTTCTGAAACCACGTACGCCGTTCAAGCTGGCTTCCTTCAACGTTCGCACACTAATGCAGATCGGACAACAGATGGGGCTGGCTATGTCTTTAGAAAGTCTTAATGTTGATGTTTGTTGTCTATCCGAGACCCGTATTCAAGACTCTAGTGAAGTACTACAAATTCGTTCTCCATCTGTCGCTTCGAAAAACTTGTTTCACGTGCGCTTATCCGGGGACTCTGTGGCATCTTTGTCTGGTCTTGTAGGCGTTGGTGTTGCACTAAGCGCTAGGGCTGAGGCAGCACTAATCGATTGGATCGTAGGACAGATAACGGGGACCGTTTGCTGCAACTGTGCACAGACCACAACCTGTTTCTGGCCAGCACAAACTTCCGGCACAGTCATCGCCGGTGTGCCACCTGGCGTCCTCCCTCTGCATCTCAAGCCTGAACTCAGATTGATCACATCGCGATCAGCTACCGCTGGCGTGGTTGTGTACAAGACTGCCGCTCCTTTTGGAGTACCTATCTGGAGTCTGATCATGCCCTGGTCTGCGCCAATCTCACCTTACTTTTCATTGGCCGAAGGATTGACCACCACCAACGGATCGATGTTAGTAAACTGGCTGCAACTTCTGTTGCAAGTAAGTATCGAGCAGAGCTAGCCTCTAGGCTAGCTACCACCCCACCGAAAAGTATAGATGAGCATTGGTTGCATCTTCACGACGCCATGAAAATGGCGAGTAAAGTCGCTTGCGGCTTCGCGAAACGTTCCGCTTACAAGCACTGGGTTTCTTCTGGCTCCTTACAACTGATGGAAGCCCGTCGGTCTACTCCGGGTGACCGTGAGTTAGACCACAAACGAAGG